CCCCGCAGTGTCGGTAAAGGAGGAGCCGGAAGCCGAGGTGCGCATGGTGAACGGGAAACCCAAGAAGGTCCGCAAGCCGCGCACGATCTACTCCAGCTACCAGCTGGCCGCCCTGCAGCGCCGCTTCCAGAAGGCCCAGTACCTGGCGCTGCCGGAGCGCGCAGAACTGGCCGCGCAGCTGGGCCTCACGCAGACACAGGTGAGCGCGGGGCTGGGGGAGAGCCAGGGGACGGGGCGCGGGGGGGGGCGCTGCGCGAGGACCCTCGGGTTCCCTAGGCTCGGCTGATCTGGCTGGCCTTTGAAAAGCCCTTGCAGGCTACTGCAAACTAATTTGCCAATGGGATGAATGACTCCCGGGTCTTTACTTTCCTAAAGGTTTGCATTATTAGTACATGTCCGAGTTGCGTAGGGGTGACTGTGGGTTACCGTGTATCTGTCACACGGAGAGGCGGCCTCCAGCCCCAGCGTCCCAGCTTCCCCAGGACCAAGCCCAACTACTCAAGTCCTACCAGTCCTTGTTGTGTTTCTCCCCCAGTCTAGGCCTGTGAACTAGAGGTACAAGCCTTTATGTTTGCAGATATGCCAGGCAATACTCACAAAGTGAATCGGGCACCAGCTGCCTCATACCTATTCATCCTAGTTACTTGGGAGGCTGAGATCTGAGGATTGAGGTTAGAAGCCAGCCCAGGGAGGAAAGTCTCCAATTAACCACAAAAAAGGAAGGAAGGAGGGAAGGAAGGAAGGAAGGAAGGAAAGAAAGAAAAGCAAACAAGCTGGAAGTGGAGCTGTGGCTCAAGTGGTAGTCAGCCAGGTTCTGAGTTTGAGCCCCCTCAGAACAACAAAAAGGTGGAGAGCCAGAACCGATGATTGTACACTATACCAGTGAGTGTATGCACAAAAAATGCACACTTATATCAAAGTACCACATTCCTGCTTGGCACCCAAATGGTCCTTTGCCGAATTAAGAGGAGAGGTTCTCAACCAAAGAAGTCCAAAATGGGAGTGAACCCCGCACCCTAGCCCCCCTCCCCCAACCTGTCACTGATCTGGGGAGGTATGCTGGGTGCCTGGCTGGGTACAGGTGTTGACAGGCGGGCCTTGGTTGTGGCTGGCTGCGTGGGGCCTGGTCCTCTGGGAATCTGGGTCACCTGGTGAGGAGCTGATTCATTGTTTGTACCAGTCATGGGGTGGAGAGCAGCAGGAGGAGGGGGAGATACCCCAAGGGAAATTTGGGGGAATCATGGCTCACCTGCTCCTGAGTCCCTAGGTCACCTCTGCACACATCCCCCCACCCCATTACCCAATGTAAGCCCAAGAGTGTATGAATGTGGGTGCTGGTGTTGTAGAGTGCTTATCTGGGTGTATCTGTGTATGTGTGTAGCTTTACAGTGTCTCGGGAGGCTGTGAGTGGGTACATTACTGAGTATGGAAGTGCCTGTGTGTGGGTGGGTGTTTGGCTATGAGTGTCTGTACCCTTCTGTTTGTGGGCATCTCATGTGAATGAAATGTCACAGACTATCCATGTCTGGCTTTTTATTAAGTGTCTACTGTATACCAGGCAGTTCTTTCCATATGTCCGAACTTTTTTGAGCCTCATAATGACCCTTTGAGGTGGGGTAACAGTGCTGCAGATGAATGGAAAGTGACACCAGAGAGGGGAAGCGCCTTGTCAAGGTCATGCTTAGTAAGTGGAGGGAGACCCCGGGCGAGCCATTCTAAGGCTCCTGGATAGTTTTCTCTGTCACTAAGGCCAGAAAGATGCTAGCCTGGGGGTGAGCCCCCCCCAACCCTGCTTTTCTTTATGTGATATTGGACACTGGCCTTGCCTTCTGTGGGCTGGATTCCAGACTAACTCCTCTTCCTTTCTTCTCTGGTCTAGGTGAAAATCTGGTTCCAGAATCGCCGCTCCAAGTTCAAGAAGCTGTACAAGAACGGGGAGGTGCCCCTGGAACATAGCCCCAACAACAGTGACTCCATGGCCTGCAACTCTCCACCGTCCCCAGCCCTCTGGGACACCTCTTCCCACTCCACACAGGCGCCTGCCCGCAGCCAGCTGCCCCCGCCGCTCCCCTACAGTGCCTCTCCCAGCTACCTGGATGACCCCACCAACTCCTGGTACCACGCACAGAACCTGAGTGGACCCCACTTACAGCAACAGCCACCGCAGCCAGCCACCCTGCACCATGCCTCCCCTGGGCCCCCGCCCAACCCTGGGGCTGTGTACTGAGCACCCACTTGGCCTGTACCCCCACGAAGGACCCCAGGACCAGGCAGAAGGTGCCCTGCCCTAGCGACACTCAGGAATCATGGAGGAGCACAGGGGAAAGGGCCCCTCCGCCTTTCCCCATTCCTTGCCCCTTCCTCCAGGGACCCAAGAGCTAACAGATGAAATTTGCATGGACCAACGATGTCCCCTGAACCTCCCTGCCCCTGCTCAGAGCAGGGGACACCATCCAATCCAGATGTCAAGGTGTTCCACCCTGGTGAGGACAGTGGACCCTTTTGCTCCAGGAGCCTGGATTGGCTTTGAATGGCTCGTGACCTGCTTTTTCATCGGTAGTAGGACCCATTCCCCAGACTGGAGACCTTGGGGATGAGGAGATTGGGAATGTTTGCAGGTCCAGCCTGGGCTAGGGAGCCAGGCATCCGTGGATCCTATGGCCTGCCAGACCCAGTTCCCTCTAAGCTACCTGGGGCCTCCCCAAACCTGAGTAGCTTTTTCTGCCAAAAAGACAGTGGATATCGTGACCGAGATTGACACTCAGGGTAGGGACCTGACCTAGCACCCGGTTCTGCTCATCTAGCCCTCATTTAAGACTTGAGGGTCAAGCCAAAGAAAATCCCCGAGTGTGAGGGAACCTATTAACAGCTGGGATTTCAAGGAAGAATTAAAGGAGCCGTCTCCTCTTGGCCCCTCCCCACCCTGTTGGGAGGGAGGGTCTCTCACTTATTTTCCTAAGGACCTCTTTCTTCTCCATGTATAGGACTTTGCACAACTTTGGTTTTGTTTGTTTTTGTTTTTTGCCAGTCCTAGGGCTGGAACTCAGGGCCTGGGCACTGTCCCTGAGCTTCTTTTGCTCAAGGCTAGCACTCTACCAATTGAGCCACAGCACCACTTCCAGCTTTATCTGTTTCTGTGGTACTAAGGAATCGAACCCAGGGCTTTCATGCATGCTAGGCGAGCACTGTACCACTAGGCCACATTCCCAGCCCCAACTTTGGTTTTAAAAGCTGTTGAAAAATAGGAAAAACAAAGGGCATTGTTGACAGATAGGACAACCCCTCCCCTCCCAACCTTGGAGGCAGATCATTCTGCCCCTGGCTCCCTTCCTCACTTCTTCCTTTCCTCCAGTAAATTGGCAATTTGGGGCACCAAACCTCAGCTCTCCAAGGAGACGTATCAGGCAAGATAAGCCCCTCCAGACACCCTCCTTTCCGGCAGCCTTGGAAACAGATTGCTCCCACTCTGCCGAAGAATGGGGGTGAGGTGCTTGGGAGAAAAAAAAGGGGGGTGGGAAGAACTAGAACTCAGTGCTTTAGTGGGAAGGGCTGGCCACCTGGAAGGCTGATGTCAATGCCCCTCCCTGGCCCAGGCGTCTCTCCCCCCCCTGCCCCCCAAAGCTAACTTCTCTCTACTCCTTATGTGGTGAAACATTGAGGAAAAGAAGAGGTTAAAAAAAGTAGTTATATATATATAGTATGCTTTTTTTTTTTAAGAGCAACAGAGAGAAACAGTCTCCTCCTTACTGTGGTTTCCTATTTATGTGACCCTATTTCTTCTGGATGGATCTCCCTGTGTGTTGAGCTGAAGGAGGGATCTGGGCTCTGGCTGGATTTGGGTTTCCCGAGAGGTGCAGAAGCAAGGAGAACCTTTCAGTGAGTCTTTAAGGCCCACCCCAGGGGGACAGCAGTGAAGCCAGCTCCCCCCCCACCCCCCCAGCCTTCTCATTTCTGCTTTCTTACTGGACCCTTTATATATAATGTTAATAAAAAAGAAAATAAATACCCACTGCGCTCTTTGAACTAGAGGTTGGTTGGTGGCAGGCAGCTCTTGGTGGTTGGATGGGGGAACTTGGGCCTTGGGTAAGTTGTTTGGTGATAAGGGACCTTGAAGTCTCCTGAGAGGACTCTGCAGAGATCCTAGGTTACCCCACGAGGATGGGGTTGGGGTTAGATGGCTGCTCCCATGGGCGGGTCTGGGTGGGAGGCTCCCAGCCTCCCTGACTGCACTGTGTTTCATGGCTTGGCATTCTCTGTCAGCCAACTGCCCCCCACTGCTGTCCTGTCCCTACCGCCACCAACACTCCTGCCAGCTCACCTCCAGGCTGCTCTTTGATCTTGAGCTCACATACAGGCATGCTTGCACATGAGTGTGTAAACCCCTGCCTCCACGCCTAGACAGCCTAGACACTCCCAGCCCCTCACCCTCCATCTGTCCCTCCCAGCTTGGGTGAGGGTGAAGAGGAACACAGTCACTGTTCCCAAAGCGTCCAGGCCCAACCAGGGAAGCTAGTGGAGGGCTTGCATTCTTGGAGAACATCACGCCTTGATTCAGAACATTCTAGATGCTGACATTGACTGGGCTGAAGCTGCTGCCATCCTCCTCTTGCAGCTCCAGAGCATAACTGCATGAAAGAGAAGAGCTAGAGGTGGGAGAATGACTGGGGGGGGGCAAGGGGGGAGGTAGTGAACCCCACCTACATCTTGACACAGAGTGGATAGCATGAGTGCATGCACAACCTCTTCCCCTTCCCCTCTCCCTCTTTTTCTCTTTTTCTAGGTACCTCTGTGGTACACACGCATACCCAGACACACAGTGACATTTCTCCACAGTCACATGTATACACATCACACTTGAGGCAAATGCACCATCCCCTGCAGACACACAAAACCATGCACCTGAGACACTTGAGCATCACACCACACAGATGTAAGAAAGCCAAAGCCACTGCAATATGAGAGATCTAGACCCCCTCACACACAAAGGCACAAACACACTCAGTCACCCCAGCCCCAGACACATGCACACACCGCACATGCGCACACCCACCGGCGGGGGCAGAGGCAGCTCCCTGTAATGGAAAAAGCCTTGTTCTGAAAATTAGCACCATCACCAGTAGCCACTGTGACCCAGCTCAGCCTGGAGCCTCCCAGAAAGGCCCTTAAGTATCCTCATCTGTCAAATGGGGCCAACAGTCCCCACCAGGCTGGCCCCTGGGGATCTTGTGAGAGACTGGAATAAAAACGAGAAAGCAGGAGGATGGAGCCAGTCTCAGGCTCACTGAGGGGACTAGGTTGCTAGTTACAGCTGCTCAGAAGTCAGGCTTTCCCAGTAGAACTCCAGAACTGGGGCTCCCCACTTCCTCTCTCTCCTCCTCAGAAGCAAGCCCTGGCCTCCCCCATGCCTAGGAGGCACAAGGGAGGAGGCCTTCAGCCCACGGACGCCAGCGGGCGTGGGCTGGCAAGGGTTAAGTTGGCAGCTGCCAGGCGGGGCTGAGCTGAGCAGTTTGGTTTGAGGGCTGCGTGCCGGCAGGAGCAGCGAGGCGGCAGCCGGGCAGACTCACTGGAGACACTGCATTTTATTAGGGCTGGGCTGCCAGCAAAGGGAGGGAGAGGGAAAAAAGGGCAGAGGGAGGAAGGAAGAAGGGAGGCTGGGCGGGCAGGCGGCGGCCACGGGATGAAAGGGTGTTGTAAGCTCCCTAATTCCTCCCAGCTCCTCCTGGCTCGGTCAGGCAGGATTAACTGCCCAGGTGACCTCCTGCAGGGGTCGGCCCCACCCCTGACCTCCCCTTCCTCCTCTCCTCACCTTCAGCCCAGCCAGGTCACCTGCACCCTCTTGACTGGTTCTGGTCAGGGTCCCTGAGGGGGCAGGGACTTTGGTGGGGACCTAGCATCATGAAATGGGGGAAGGGGATCTTCTGAGCCTAACTTCTGTCAGCTGCTTCCTCCTCTTTCTCCTTCTCCCCCTCCTCCAGCTCCTGTTCCTCCTCCTCCTCCTTTCTTCATCTTCCTCCTGCTCCTGTTTCTCCTCCTCCTCCTCCTCTTCTTCTTCCTCTTCTCCCTCTTCCTCCTCCCCTCCCCCTCCTCCTCCTC